CCCGGGAAATCCGACTCCAGCTGTGTTCAAGGTCACCCAGCTGTGTAAACAATAACTCATCGGTGTTATATTTCACAGAAAGACGAGACAAAGGAAAATAAAGTTTGAAGCTTTTTCTTCAAAATTAACGCATTTTTTTCGTTTTTTTTCAGTTTAAAGTATTTTTTATGTTTAATTAAACATTAGCATTAAAAATTACGGTGTATGCTCCGGCGTATTTTTACGCCGGTGGTAAAGAAAGGGTTAAAGATGCAGCGTTATGTTCTGGGATTAATTTGTTTACTTATCTTTGCTTGTAAACCTCAATTTTAAACGTATCCGCCATTTTTTCAACAAATTTCCCGTAAGTCAATGCGCGACATTCACTAAAAGTCATGGGATGTTGTAAATGTGCGGTGCAAGGTTAATCAAGGCATAAAATAATTATTTATACCATTCTGTGGTATAAATAATAAATTCCTATTACAAATAAAAATAATTTATTGTTAATTTAAAATCATCGCTACGGCACCTCTAGTGCCCGTTTTCGGCATACTGTTACGCAGACAGATATGCATTGAATGGGTTATATAGATAGATTCTTAAGAAAAATGCTACACGAAATTGCAAATGCCAATAATCTATGCATCGCTTATCGACGTAATCCAACAGTTTACAAGTCATTAAGGGATGATAACAAGAAAGAAAATCAAAACTCTTTGATGGGCATTTACTCCATACCAATAAAAGACCACCAGTTTGATTCTGATATAGTTTATGTGGGAGCTACTTTGCAATCCTTAGAGCATAGGGTCATATAGGATCAAAGAACACAAGTACTCAGTTAACAAGAACCTAGACAGTATGATTCTAGCATCATTTGCCAACCAACATGATGTTAATGTTTTATGGGACCAGGCTTCATCATTAGGCCTACAATTAACAAACATACAATCAGGGATCTTGAAAAGCTAGATATATATAAAGCACAAGTAAAAAGCAAGGTGTATTAATCATAGAGATGCAGATTCTTTCTCAATAGCATGGAAATCATTTTATGATGATAGGCAATAATAGGATATAGTGATGCAAACACACATTTTGTTATATATATATATATTTATATATATGATATATAGATATTCGTATGAACATGTCTCTTCTGATAAAACTTCAGAAAAATTTGGCAGTTCCTCCCATATTGCCGTCATAGTCTTACTTTGGGGCCAATTTGAAATGTACTATTTTTGACATTGCACCACATTCTAAAGTACAAATTATGAAGTAGCGGCTGTTTTTTGGCCTGTAGGCACAAGCTGCTTATATTTTTACAGATGATTTCCAAAATGATTATAATATATCACACATTGTTTGTCATGATGATGAATGTTTCATTTATATATATATTTTTATATTTCTGATCATAATGTCATTTTGAATGAATCTTTTTGCAAAATTTCAGGCACCATTGTTTTACTGTTGGCATTTTCCATCAATACCCTGTTTTAGAGATTTGATACAAGCACATATTTTCAAAGCTGGTCCCAATTTCATACTCATTGCCGTCATCAAATGATCCTCCTTCAATAATAATAGAGCCTGTCCGTCTATTTCTTGTGATCTGAATTCATCCGCATAGTCTGCGCAACCAGGAAGCTTGTATATGAAATCTACCACTTCTTGCACCTAAAATGTATATTAATGTCAATACCAAAACTTTGAATATTCAAATAAAATATGAATAAAATGAATTATTACCGTCCATTTGAGAGGATTACTGGACCCAATCGATGTTGGTTCTGGTCCGTCGACTTCCATTTCCTCTTTATGGCTAGACGGAGTCGTAGGCGACATCGAACTTTCTGGACCAGAAGGTGTGTCTGTTGTCTCCCCTTCAGCTTCTCTTTCTTCTTTCACTGATTCTTCACTTTCAATTTCAATAGGTGTTCTCTGATCTGACTGTGAAGTTGTATTCTGATTTTGCTAAAAGATATTAAATTATGGCTTATAATTTCATATTTTCTCTCAATTTAGTTATTATTTGAATTAAACTAACATTTTTATATATAATATCTTGATTTTTTAATATTATCAATAATTTATTTGTTCCAATTAACTTGGAAAAATAATTCAAAACTTTGTGTTATCTTACTTCTTTAATGCTAAGACCAATTGTAATTTTGAGATTTAATTTTAGTGTTTTGTTTCCATGGTTTTAAATATTCAGTTTCATTAAGTTTTGTTAAGTAACAGTATGAAAAATAATATAAATTCCATGAAAAATGTTCAGAAGCTATTTCCATGCTTTTTTCTACAAACAATAACTATTCGTTTCAATGTGGCATTATAATCTCATCTTGAAGACATTTTAAGCACAGTATTAAAAAATGTAAATTAAATGTGTTACCATCAAAGCCTGTTTTTGATAGTAACGAACATCTTGTAAATATAAAGTCTTTTATAGATTGTTCTTCCAAAACCAATTTAATAAAACTACAGTTTTTCTAGAATTTAGAGATGATATTTGGAAACAACCATCTATTCCTGAATATAAAACTTGGTTAATACCTGTAACAATGTATTCAAGAGTCAATGACTTATGTAAAAAGAAATTTATAGTTGAAATTTCAGTAACCAAAAGACATACGAAATCTTCAGAACAGATAAGATGCATTTAGGCTTTGTTTATGCCAACTATATTCCTAGTAATAATGAATAGATTTGTAACTTCACAATCAATATCTTTATCAAATAATGTTAATGAAGTTGCTAAGATAAAATTGTGTGGATTTTTTTTGGCTGAATATAACTCATTTTTAATTATGGTTTATCTTGCAAACTTATTCGCATCAATTTTCCTAGATTCAAACATTGCCAGAAACTTGTCATAAATGTTATAATTGCAAGTTACAAATATGACAATTAGCTTCTATTTAAAAAAAAAAATAACAAATTTAGTTTCCTAAACAACTAGTCAACAATATCAAACAAATAAAACAGCCTGCATAGTTGCAAGATATTTCAATCCAAAAACAGAAAAAATGCACTCATCCCTATGAAGAGAAAACTTAATTCAAAAATAAAAATTTCCAATATACAGTAATTTATTTTATAGCATCTGCTAACAATGTTATAAATATATATTTTACAAGGATATCCAAGTTTTGATATCTGGATTTTGCTGAAATTTTAATACATTTTATCATAGCCCTTCCACTACTGCACAATAACATAACTCATGCCAATAAGGGACCGTCCATAAATTATGTAAGGGCGATTTCGGCCATTCTAGATCCCCACCCACCCGTGTAAGAAATCGTAATATTTTCTTTGATCCCCCCTCTCCTTCCCTATCTTATGTAATATTTTGGCATGATTTTATAGAAAGATTTTAAACAAAAAATATTTTTTTATGAAACCCTAAAATCCTTAGGTCCAAAATATATAATTATTAATTAGTTAATTAATATGTACTATTATTTATAAACAACTTTATGTGAACAAATTTAAAAATATATAAAAATTTAATGAATTCGAATGAACAATTTATTTTAAGAACTTTATTTTTTAATTATTAACAACATTATTATTAATATCATTAATCAACATCATAATATTTATTTTTATATTAATTTTAATTTTCGCAAAAGACACAAAAAACTTTGCCTGACCAACTAGTTAGTGCACATGTAAACAAACGTCATACAAAATATGATAAAACAAGAGAGAATAGAGAGAAACCACATTCTGTTGCCATATTGATTACATCTTGGCTAAGACCAAGAAAATAAACTACATGCTGATAAAAGGTGCTAGGTGCACCTAGGGACTAAATAATAAAGCTTATAAAACTCTATATAATGGGGAAATACAACCAATGATACTTTACATGGCCTCTGGCTGTGGCCATGTAACTAGTAAAAATTCAGTAGCAAGTAAAGTACTCTCTCTTCAAAGCCAGTTTGACATCAGAATTTCAAAGGCTGCAGAACTGTTTTTACTAATGCCTCTCTGATACTAGCAGAGCTCCTTCCTTTGCCACTATGTATTGTAGGAAAAGGTTCTAAACTACTAAATCAGAACTACAAACGTCAAGGCTCAACAATGATCTCTACTCCTATCTACGGCTGTTCATACATATTTCTGATCATAATGTCATTTTGAATGAATCTTTTTGCAAAATTTCAGGCACCATTGTTTTACTGTTGGCATTTTCCATCAATACCCTGTTTTAGAGNGAGTGTGGAAGCATTGTATTGTCTGTCAGCTTCCAAACAGTCAGATTCGCGCATGCGCTTTACAGAACATCAACCTCACCCGCTTTAGCTGGTGGAAGCCTAGGACCTTGGGTGGAAGCTACACACGTATAACGCTTCCGATTCTATCCAGGACCGGTTCTGGGCTGTTAGCCGTCTGCCCGCTAGATAGTTGGCCGCCTTCGCCCGATTACGTGAATCACGAGTAGATTAATAACTTAACCCAACCGATAAGAATTTACTGGTATGTTTTTATGATAGTTCTGTATAGTTCACAGAAGTTAAAAAAATCCATTAAAATATTTGATATATTTATTCCGTTCTCCCATCTTATATTATTTACGGATTTCAATGTTAAAGTGATATTACGATTTCGTACGCCCCATCTTTAAGGGGATCTAAAAAAAACGTGTACAATTCTTGTATTATGTTAAAAAATTAACTGTTACTTTGTAGGATCATTTACAACTAAATTTAATGAATGAGAGAGATGCGCGAGGTTCAGAAAAAGCTCTAGAATTTATTTTCCTTAAATTTGCTATTTATGTATCCGTTGTCATAAAAATTTGTCTTTCCACTTTTTTCCAGACTACGAATATTCGAGTACAAAGTAACCGGTTTCAACTTATTTCTATTTAAGAAGTAGTTAAATGATTAAGAGATTAGGGACATAAATAAAACCCTACTGAAAGAGCCGGAATATTACTTAAAAGCTTAACCGACCCAATCTCTAGCCGAGTACAGTGGGGACTGATTTCTTCGTAATATTAGAAGTAATATAAACACAAATTTTTCCAGTTCAACGAGAGTGACCGAAAAGTTGTAAATTTTGGAAACTTCCATGGACACCTAGTCCTAAAACGAATTAGTTAGAAAACAAATGACTATTAAGTTTAACATATTTAGACTTTTACAGCTATGGTGAGAAACGTTTAAAATTTACAACAACCCTGTCGCGTCCTTTCAGATATACTAGTGATGCGACAACAGGCATTTGACGTTAACCGGTATCGGCACCCTCGGGATTTGGCAGCCCGCGTGTATGTACACACCGCACACCTAGCAGGACCTAAGTGGTTAAGATTTAAAGAGTAAAGAAGATTTTATGTTATTTTTATGTACAGTACTGTATGTTTCTTTACAAAGCTATATTTAATTATAATATTCTTTAAAAGTATATTCATACAATTGAAGAATGTTTTGTACCAGGTAGGTATATCCACCACACATTTTATTTCACCAAGTAAGTTTTTATAATTTTATTTCTAATTTTAGCCCTTATATCGTGGCTAGCGGTTTAAAATGTAATTGCGATATTGAAAATTTATTTTAAAAAAGTTTTGGCTCGAGATCATATAATGGAAAGGAAAATATGGTTAATGTTTACCTAGGTAGTCCAAGATGGCCGCACAGTGGGTACCCACATTCTAACCTAACCTAACCTATTCTAATAAATTAACAAAATTACTAATGTAAGATGTAAAATAACTCAAAAAATTAATTATATGAAGAAAGGAAAATTTTCTTAATTTATTAAAATAGGTTAGGTTAGGTTAGAACGTGGGTCCCCACTGTGCGGCCATCTTGGACTACATAGGTAAACATTAACCGAAAATATTATTAAAAGAGAAAGGCCTATGCCTAAGTTAAATATCAACACTTCAATAAAAAAATTTGTCCGACATTTTCACGATAAAATGGCTCTGTAAATGCATAAAAATGCAAAAATTGTTTTGTTGGCTTGCCTACTACTGTATTTTCAAATGAAATTAGTGTGTGGAATAAGAATGGCTTTGACAATTTAGCTGGCAAAAGACACGAAAAATTGTCGATTCTTTCGTATTTGAAGCAATTTGGAAATCGAAGCGGAATAGAATTTAACATTAGTAAATAATACAAAATAAATATTGAAAATTATAACGAGATAGTTACGGCAAATAGATATATTTAAATTAAGAGATGTTATATGTTTTTATCAAAGCAAGAATCGGCATTTAGAGGGCATAGGGAATCTATTGAATCTAATAACAGAGGTAATTATATTGAACTTGTTTATTTATTAAATACGTCAGATAAATAATCTACTAAAACAGGGCTTCTTAAACCCAAGATTTTGCTTCGCGACCCCATTTGGTGTCGCTTAGCAAAATCTTGGGGTCGCGAGATTTTAATGCAAAATATTGAAAATAATTTGTGAGAGTTTGAAAACACTATGCTTTGTGTCATCGGTTTCGTGAGTTGCGCTTTGTGTCACTTCTGGTGCAGCGAGACAACGATTCAGCAACACTGTAGGGTTGTCGCTTTTGAGTGTAATCAGTTGTCTTTGTTCCATTGTAACACAAGAGTGAACTGTGGTAGTATACCATTATTGTTTTTGCAAATTTCTTTATTTTATAATTTTTTTTGGGGGGGTCGCGAAAAAAATCACAATCTTAAATGGGGTTGTGAATAAAAAAAGTTTAAGAAGCCCTGTACTAAAAATACATTTAAAGAATTAACTGATTTCCCCTGGAAGTCGGCTTGTTACAGAAACACAGCTTCCCTATCAACAAATGTTACGGCACGCCACTGTGTATAAAAGCTTTCTGCTCAACCCATCATCATTTTTATATATTAACCATAGCATCCGAGATGTGTGTAGAAGCATAAAACTTAAAAGGAAGGTTGTAATATCGACGATTGAGATGAAAAAGGAACTTGTCGCAAAGCATAAAAGCGGTATACGTGTGGCAAATCTGGCGGCCATGTTTAAGAATATCAAACGCGGCCGTCAGATGTGGAAGTCCACGATGTGCACCAGTTAATACAATATTCATTTTATCATACTATATATACATATTTCATTTATTATTTTCATGTTTTAATTTAGTATCGGCATTTAATTGTATTATTTTTATTTTAAATTATGTGTATTTGCTAATCAAAATGAATATTGTTTAGGGTTTGGGTATGGATTAATTTGCTTCCCATTATTTCTAATGGAAAAAATTGATTCGGACTTTGAACGATTCAGCTTCCTGGAATGAATTAAATTCGAAGTATGAGGCACCACTGTACGTAGTTTTAGAAACAAGATTATTTATCTATTACTAATTACAGGCTCTACTCCAGTTTAACTCCATAAATGAATTTCGAGCTTAAAATAACCTTGAAAAATTTTACAATAATTGTTTATTAAGAACAAACAAGAAAATAAAAGGAAAGTTCTTATCCACTTTCTACCAAAGCAGCAGAAATGATCTATAATGCTTGGCTGTAATTTTTCATAAAGCAACAAAAACTATAAAAATAACATTTTTCTTGAAAGCTTAATCCAATGAATTCTATTTAATAAAATTACTTCAGTGAAATTAAATTTTAATTTTACTGAAGGCAAAAAAAAAATTAAAAATTTTAAATAAGAAAATACATACAAAAATTACAGCACTTATTTATTATCAACTGCACAACCATTTATTTCCAATTAAGATGCACAGGAAAAAAACATATAATCAGAACATCCACAATAGAACATATTTGATTATAAAACTCATTTCTGTTAATTAAATTATATTCTGATTTTTATTTTTAGAAAATAAACTTATTACAGAACATATTATATATGAACTGCATATAATCTAAAAATTTAAATAATTCTGCTTATAACATTAATTTAAAAATTATGTAATTACTGACTATTCGTATCCATATATTTCTTTGAATATAGATTAAAAATATAGAACAAGGATAACTTTCTAATTGTTTTAAGTTTTTTTTGTTTTGTTTTTTAGTCTTTCTTATACATAAATATAAAAGCAGTGCTTTTATTCGAGTAGCTGCTTTTATTTTAGATGATAAGGAGGAAATAAGAAATTAAAATTTGGTTGTTCAGTTATGAATGTCAAAAATATAACACATACAAAACATTTTATATCCTCCATTTAGTTTCCTATTTTTTCTTTTTCAACATGGCAGTATGATTTGTGATCATTTTTACTTTCACAATAATAATATTTTACATATACACGTGCGGACACATTTATTATATCGTATAGTTCACCGAAGGATTTATGAATATGATGGAATACATGCTAATGGAAGAAATGTCATGAATTCAAAGAACACCTTGGTATACTTTACACAAAATAAGGCATGTACAATTTTAGAATGAAATTTGATATACTAATGATATTGGCAACTGATATTTCACTCTATGCCAATCTAAGTTTTAAATTCTATTGGGTAATGCCATTTATTTTTAGGCCACCATAGACACTATAAGGAGAATAAATGGCATGGTTATTATATATATATATATTTATATATATGATATATAGATATTCGTATGAACATGTCTCTTCTGATAAAACTTCAGAAAAATTTGGCAGTTCCTCCCATATTGCCGTCATAGTCTTACTTTGGGGCCAATTTGAAATGTACTATTTTTGACATTGCACCACATTCTAAAGTACAAATTATGAAGTAGCGGCTGTTTTTTGGCCTGTAGGCACAAGCTGCTTATATTTTTACAGATGATTTCCAAAATGATTATAATATATCACACATTGTTTGTCATGATGATGAATGTTTCATTTATATATATATTTTTATATTTCTGATCATAATGTCATTTTGAATGAATCTTTTTGCAAAATTTCAGGCACCATTGTTTTACTGTTGGCATTTTCCATCAATACCCTGTTTTAGAGATTTGATACAAGCACATATTTTCAAAGCTGGTCCCAATTTCATACTCATTGCCGTCATCAAATGATCCTCCTTCAATAATAATAGAGCCTGTCCGTCTATTTCTTGTGATCTGAATTCATCCGCATAGTCTGCGCAACCAGGAAGCTTGTATATGAAATCTACCACTTCTTGCACCTAAAATGTATATTAATGTCAATACCAAAACTTTAAATATTCAAATAAAATATGAATAAAATGAATTATTACCGTCCATTTGAGAGGATTACTGGACCCAATCGATGTTGGTTCTGGTCCGTCGACTTCCATTTCCTCTTTATGGCTAGACGGAGTCGTAGGCGACATCGAACTTTCTGGACCAGAAGGTGTGTCTGTTGTCTCCCCTTCAGCTTCTCTTTCTTCTTTCACTGATTCTTCACTTTCAATTTCAATAGGTGTTCTCTGATCTGACTGTGAAGTTGTATTCTGATTTTGCTAAAAGATATTAAATTATGGCTTATAATTTCATATTTTCTCTCAATTTAGTTATTATTTGAATTAAACTAACATTTTTATATATAATATCTTGATTTTTTAATATTATCAATAATTTATTTGTTCCAATTAACTTGGAAAAATAATTCAAAACTTTGTGTTATCTTACTTCTTTAATGCTAAGACCAATTGTAATTTTGAGATTTAATTTTAGTGTTTTGTTTCCATGGTTTTAAATATTCAGTTTCATTAAGTTTTGTTAAGTAACAGTATGAAAAATAATATAAATTCCATGAAAAATGTTCAGAAGCTATTTCCATGCTTTTTTCTACAAACAATAACTATTCGTTTCAATGTGGCATTATAATCTCATCTTGAAGACATTTTAAGCACAGTATTAAAAAATGTAAATTAAATGTGTTACCATCAAAGCCTGTTTTTGATAGTAACGAACATCTTGTAAATATAAAGTCTTTTATAGATTGTTCTTCCAAAACCAATTTAATAAAACTACAGTTTTTCTAGAATTTAGAGATGATATTTGGAAACAACCATCTATTCCTGAATATAAAACTTGGTTAATACCTGTAACAATGTATTCAAGAGTCAATGACTTATGTAAAAAGAAATTTATAGTTGAAATTTCAGTAACCAAAAGACATACGAAATCTTCAGAACAGATAAGATGCATTTAGGCTTTGTTTATGCCAACTATATTCCTAGTAATAATGAATAGATTTGTAACTTCACAATCAATATCTTTATCAAATAATGTTAATGAAGTTGCTAAGATAAAATTGTGTGGATTTTTTTTGGCTGAATATAACTCATTTTTAATTATGGTTTATCTTGCAAACTTATTCGCATCAATTTTCCTAGATTCAAACATTGCCAGAAACTTGTCATAAATGTTATAATTGCAAGTTACAAATATGACAATTAGCTTCTATTTAAAAAAAAAAATAACAAATTTAGTTTCCTAAACAACTAGTCAACAATATCAAACAAATAAAACAGCCTGCATAGTTGCAAGATATTTCAATCCAAAAACAGAAAAAATGCACTCATCCCTATGAAGAGAAAACTTAATTCAAAAATAAAAATTTCCAATATACAGTAATTTATTTTATAGCATCTGCTAACAATGTTATAAATATATATTTTACAAGGATATCCAAGTTTTGATATCTGGATTTTGCTGAAATTTTAATACATTTTATCATAGCCCTTCCACTACTGCACAATAACATAACTCATGCCAATAAGGGACCGTCCATAAATTATGTAAGGGCGATTTCGGCCATTCTAGATCCCCACCCACCCGTGTAAGAAATCGTAATATTTTCTTTGATCCCCCCTCTCCTTCCCTATCTTATGTAATATTTTGGCATGATTTTATAGAAAGATTTTAAACAAAAAATATTTTTTTATGAAACCCTAAAATCCTTAGGTCCAAAATATATAATTATTAATTAGTTAATTAATATGTACTATTATTTATAAACAACTTTATGTGAACAAATTTAAAAATATATAAAAATTTAATGAATTCGAATGAACAATTTATTTTAAGAACTTTATTTTTTAATTATTAACAACATTATTATTAATATCATTAATGAACATCATAATATTTATTTTTATATTAATTTTAATTTTCGCAAAAGACACAAAAAACTTTGCCTGACCAACTAGTTAGTGCACATGTAAACAAACGTCATACAAAATATGATAAAACAAGAGAGAATAGAGAGAAACCACATTCTGTTGCCATATTGATTACATCTTGGCTAAGACCAAGAAAATAAACTACATGCTGATAAAAGGTGCTAGGTGCACCTAGGGACTAAATAATAAAGCTTATAAAACTCTATATAATGGGGAAATACAACCAATGATACTTTACATGGCCTCTGGCTGTGGCCATGTAACTAGTAAAAATTCAGTAGCAAGTAAAGTACTCTCTCTTCAAAGCCAGTTTGACATCAGAATTTCAAAGGCTGCAGAACTGTTTTTACTAATGCCTCTCTGATACTAGCAGAGCTCCTTCCTTTGCCACTATGTATTGTAGGAAAAGGTTCTAAACTACTAAATCAGAACTACAAACGTCAAGGCTCAACAATGATCTCTACTCCTATCTACGGCTGTTCATACGGCTGCTACCACATTGCAATTACCTTACTATCTCTGATCATCATCCTGTAAACAAGGTTATTTGGTGTCATCTGCTTCCTCCATGGATAATCATGCAGACATTAATATCTACACAGATGGGTCCAAAAGCTCCCTTCTTGTCGGCTCAAGTATCTGTATCTTCCTCCAAACTGACATATTTTGCCAAAAATATGTTAGAAGGTACAGATACCTCCCACATACCTCCATCTATCAAGCTGAAGAAGATGCTGACTACCAAGCTGTTCAGTGGGCAACTTCACTACCAAACAAAACTCTGTCTATCAACATTTACAGTGATTCTCAGTCTGTCCTAAAAGCTCTATTAAATCCCAATTACAATAGCAATAAAATCGCATATATCCAGCACCATATTAAAATTCTAAATAAAATAAATTTTATATTTGTTCCTGGCCATACTGGCATACTAGGAAATGACTTTGAGCTTAAGTCAGCTGCAAAGGACACTGATTTGGACTACATTCTCATCCCTCTCTCACGTAGCAGCCTTAAAAATTATATTCATGACAACACTATGCAAAAGTGGAATCAGTAAAAGTAGTTGAGCAGTAAAATAGGTAGAATAACAAAACTTTAATTTCCTAGTGTTGAATGTAGGTTGTCATCACTACTTAGAGATTTAACATTTGCTACTGCTCAACTATTTACTGAGCATGGTAATTTTAGAAGCTACCAGGCGATGTATAATTGTGCAGAAACATCTCCTTGCTTTTGCTCTACAGAAAATCTAGACACCGTCAACCATATGATCTATCATTGTCCAATTTACGATCAAGATAGACTTATTCTGAAATTAGAAAGTTTTACGCTTGGTTTCATGTGGCCATGTTCACTCACTAAGCTTGTTCAGAAATCACTGTTTGATACTTTTTACAATTATGTTCAAAAAATATGGAAGAAAAGACTATAATTTCTAATATTAGTTTTGGATTTCACTAAAAACCTAATATTAATTTCATGTTTACTTTGTATCATGTATTTTGGTTTATGTATTCTTAGTGTTTAGCCTATACAACCCATAGGAGTGGTGCACTTATTCTAATAAAAAACAAGAGAGAGAAACCACAACACGGCTTTCTCCCATGACAAAAAATGTGTAGAGCATGAATCTGCTAGTGTTATTATTCTATCATGTCACATGAGACAACGAGCATTCTTAATAGAAACCGCCAAATTCAAAACGCCACCACTCAACGAGATCAAAAAATAAGAATATTACGTAAGACAAGATCTATAACCCCCCTACCCGAGTAAGAAATCTTTAACCCCCACCCACCCCAAAATATCTTACGTAATTTATGGACATCCCTAAGCAGTAGTTTATGAAACAACATTATGTATAATGCATACAGAAAAATTTAAATAATGTTTTCTCAAACAACTTCTCATTAGTCCCGAGTGTTACCGTGCATTAGTGGAAGAGGAGTACTAAAATTTCAGGAAAATCCAGGATATCAAATGATTAGATGTCTCCTTGTGACAATGAAGAAAATACGATATTTATTTAAATTGATATGGTATGAATCTTTTACAAATAATTTATACGAATTTAATTTGTTAATTAAATTAACAAATATATCAATAAAAACATTACAACATAGTTATTTAAAATGAAACAGCAGCAATGACTGAATGATTAAGTTGTTCATGAAACTGCATTTCCATTCAATATATATGTTATGGACAAAGTGATTAATATGGGAATTATGAATAATGACCAACAAAATTGGGCTTTGCAATAAATTTCAATAATTTATCAAATTGACCGATCATTATGAATACTGCTATCACCTAGTCGTACAAAGTGATGATAATACTTTGAGGAGTTATCATCCGACATACACTAGCCAATCAGCACTTGCATCTGAGTTGCACATGCATATTGCGTTTAGTACCAAATTTGACGGTGGTCGCGACTATGCTCCTGACAGACTCCTCTTGGAGAAAAGCCGGCAATTGTTTAACACACTAGTTATCGATTCACGGTATTTGTTGAACACACAGTAACTAGTGACGTTAACCAATCGGTGGCCTGCTAGCGGCTCCAGCTGCTACGTCTTCGCTCCCTTCCACCTACAACAGAATCCCATTCTTGAAAATCAAACAATGGAACTGTCATCTTGCCCTCCAAGAATGGCAAAGTGAATGGGACTGCGGGGACACAGGATGGGTGACCCACAACTACATCCCCAGTATCTCACGTCGTCTAGAGTGGAAGCACTTCACACCTTCCTTTGTCATGACCCAGTTACTTACGGGTCATGGCAACTTCAACACATACCTCAATCATTTCTGCCTAAGGGAATCTGGTGTCTGTCACTGCGACGATACTACAATACAAGACGGTAATCATTATCTCTTGGACTGCAGCCTCTTCGATCACCAAAGAGACAATTTCATTGGATGTGTTCTGTATGCAGGCTTCAACTGGCCTTGTTCTCCTGAAACTCTGCTTGAAAACAAGGATATCTACAATAGTCTCAAAAAGTTTCTCACATCAATGGCAGCGCTCTGCCCTCAGCGCAACCCTCACACAACCGACAATGACGAACCATCTACATTGCAATGAACTATGCCACAACAGGTTTTCTCCTGTCTTCAAGTATGTGCACCAGTGGTACAGGATTCTTTGCTCTGTTTGAGCGGACTTAACTCAACCAACTCCTCACCCTACTGTCTGTGGAATTTTCCTCTCGGTATATGGCATCATTTGTATTATTGTCACCGCACGCTCTTGTTGAGGTCTATGCTCTCTTCTTCTCCTCAACCCTTTTCTGTACAACTCTTAATGTCAGTTTATATATGTATTTTGTATATACCTTGCTACATAAGAATAGCATTGTCACGCCAATAATTTTGTAAATTTCTACATTGTGTTGTTTTACCGTTACACTGTTTAATGTATCTATTTTGTACTTTGTTTATTTCTAAATAAATGCGATGCAGGTGCCATGAGCTCCCACCTTTTCCTGCCCCAATTTCATCCCCTACTCTTTGCAACTCTTCTCCTACCTTCCATTCTTTCCTACCTTCTTGCTTATACCTACAAGTGGTACCAGAAGGCCCCCTCTTTCAACTTTTAATTAATCTACTGCCGGTGGCTCCCCTCCGGGAGGAATCCGTTGAGAGTACAAACAGTCATGACTGCCGCTATGATGGTGCATAGGTAAAATTTTACCATTTAATTAATATAGTTAATAGTACTTAGTTTTAAAATATTACATGTTCTTTTTAAAATACTTTGAAATAATTCATAAAAAATAAATATTTCTAAATGAAATAAGTGGAGTTTTTTAATCAAATTAAAATTTTGCACAAGGTTGGTTGCATAAATTTAAAATTCAATACTAAATGCAATACGCAAGTGCAACTCAGAGTGCTGATTGACTAGTGTATGTTGGATGATCACTCTGCAATGTATTATCATCACTTTGCCTGACTAGGTGATAGCAGTATTCATAATGATCGGTCATTATGCTAAAGTAGCTCTACTTTTCCTTTTGCTACTACTTCCTTTAGCACTACCTTTAGTACTTCATCATTGCACTCATCTCTCATTTTGTTACCTGTTAGGGACCATAAGAATTCAGCAACAAAAATCAAGGGGTGACAAACTAAAACAAAAAAGTATTATTTTGTTTTAGTTTTATGCTATAGTTACATATGTTGTTCATATATTACACAAAATATAGCTAAGATATTTTTAATTAATCTATACTAATATTATAAAGAGGTAAAGTTTGTAAGTTTGGATGTAGGAGGTAATCTCTGAAATTACTCATCTGATTTCAAAAATTCTTTCACCAATATTTAGAATAGAACTTCATGGTGGACATAGGCTGTATATTATTCTGTTAAACATTCATATAAATTAAAAGATAGCATCTAGGATTAAGGCTTTTATGTCCAACAGATGGCGCTAACTCCGCGAGTACGATGACCTAAGTTTGCTTTTCTGTGAGGATGAACTAAAGCAGATCATCTTCTATCTACTGTATCTATATAAATAAAAATGTAAATGTTCGTTTGTTCCTACGGATTCCTTTGAAATTTTGACACAATGTTGCATTCGAATACGCACGTGTTTTTATATAACATACATGTCAAAATTCCCCCCACAGGGGGGAGATGGACGGGATTAAGGCTTACCGTGAAGAACTTGGCTTCTATTATACTATTTTAGATGTGGTTTTTTGCGTTTTTGATTACATTTTAATAGGGTACGTCAACAGAATATACACTAAAAAGGGATTTTTCAAAAATTTCCCCACCACGGGGGAAGTGTTATACATTTCTAATAGATACATTTTGAGCCACAACTTCGCGTGGCAGGGTCTGCTAGTTTTATAATAAAGTTAAAAAATCATTTCTGACACATTACTGTATAAAAGAGTGAAGTAAAATAGATATAGTGGATACAGTGATCCAAAAACATTTTAATGATAAGGCTGATAGTGCCAATAATTTCTTCATCATTTAAGGAATATGATGTCAGATAGCCTTGGTCACAGGAAACATATTCAAGTACATCAGTGTTGGTAGCATCAACAATATTCATATCACTGAAACACTAATAGATCTTATCTACTTAAATTTTTAGTATTTCTGGGTTTTTTACTTGTGGATATTTTAGCATGTACACTATATCTTTTACTCTACCCTAGTGATTTTTTTATCATGTTATGTATTAAATGACAAAATTGAGTTGTAAGGATCTTAACCAAACACAGTGACAGAACTGAGGAAGTGGCATTTATAAGGGTGACACATATGTATTATATAAATCTCTTATTATAATTTATGTCTGTTACTCAATTTACATATTCTGATTTTTAAACTTTTCTTGTGAGAGAAGAAAAAGCATTTTAAATGCTTCCATTTCTATGCTTTTGATCTATTATTTTTATGATTACAGGCCTTGGAACAGAAAATGACTTCAAAATAAGTGAGAATAGTAACTCCAAGCAAGGAAAAAGGGACTAAACAGTGACTGAAATAAAATTAGTTGGCTATAATGATATACATTACTTGTAGGAAGTCAAGTCCAAATGTTATTTTATGTTTATGGGTTTTGTTTCATTTGACTTTATATTTTAGTTTCAGAAAGTTTTCTTTTGTTTAAAGGACAATAACTTATTTTCATTATTAACTAATAGTAATTAATGTGAATTCCCAGACAAGGTCTGAAATCATGTAAAAGCGTGGAATTCTTGTGTTTATATTATAATGACAGACTAAATAAGAGAGGGAGAAAAAAATCCTTGATCTAAACAATGTGGCACAAAATGTAATCAACGAGTCCCGGGATGACTCCAACATGTGTTAAACGATCCGTCAATGTCAAACTGAACGGTAAAACTCTGACACAAGCACTCATAAACAAGTATAACTCTGACTCGAATACTCATAAATAGTCAATCTAGGAAAACAATTTCGGAAAAAGGGAAAGATTTGAAGGATAGAAAAACAATTGTGTATGATCATTAAAGTTCCAAGATGACAGAAATCACAAACAATGGGCTAAATTATGAACACGAGTCTTATGGTTTTATCAACAATCTCCGAGCATAGTCGACAAAAAGGTGTCAATAGACGTCTTGAATCGGACCTTTCCCATGACCCGAGTTGGTCTCGGTTTTCATCTGTAACCAAATGAGAGCCAATCAAATAGCGAGGAATGGGATGAGGGGCCAATCGGAAATATGGATAGTGGCAGAAAACCTATAAAAATCGAAAATTCAACGTTGAAGGACAGTTTCCTCTGGATTAAGCCAAAAGTCGTCAATATTAAGTTGTGTTGTGCTATCACCTAGAACACTGCAGCACCATCTCACCGATCATCTGCTTCACCCAGCGATCCCGTCTCGTCCACCCCGGGGCTACAACCAAGTTCGAAGTTTTCTGCCTCTCTGAAGGACTATAGAGAAGTGGAACTGTCAAATATTTGATGTAAGCATAAATGTTACCAAATAAACTGCTTTCATTTGGAAAACACTTGTCATCATTTGCCTCCTCTGCCACAGCCCACATGCAAACTTCCCTTAGGTTCATCCTGATGTGGGATTAACTGATCCCACCTAAAAGATGGCAACCTTACACTGATGCCGAGGAGTGTGTTTTCAAGTCCCCTATCTCCACCAGATCAGCTACCTTACATGAATAAAGCAATCATAATTTGTAATTTATGACCAGAAAATACCAAAAATCAAGCTTCCAGCTATTAGCACTGTTTGCCACAATGGCATAATTTAGAACTAATGCTCGCATAGGGTCTAGACCATCCTTTCTCAAAGTGGGCGATAACGCCCCCTCGTGGGTGCTGGAGGCTTTCAGGGGGGCAGTAGAAGGCTCAGTGATGAAATATGAGTTTTATTTCTTCTCATTAAAACATTCTTTGATCTCAGAAATAGGATATGGGCATTGCTCATAACATCAGAAAAAGTGAGAAATAGTGATATATATTATGGAAATTGTTGAGAAAAGTGACCAATTTAAAAATAGTGAGAATAATGACCTGTTCTGAGGCCTGTGATTATTTACATTTTTTATGGTTCTTTTTGTCTTTCTTTTTAAAAATTTGAAATATGCTTCTTATTTTCTAAAAATTAACAACCTATCCTGCTTCTAGCATTAATAGCAACATTCCTTTTGTTTTGTTTAATTTAAGAAAAAAAAGGAGGGCAAGTTAGCAATGGCAGATCCAGAAGAAACCAAAGAGAACTAACTCAAAAATATTTGAATAATTATAAGTACCTTTTATTAACATATGCACAACAACTGTATTACTGATGATTTGATAAACCATATCTGCCATCAAAAATGTTTCCAACAAATATTAATTTTTTTTGTGTCAATAGCATGGTTTAAACCTCTCTAGCCTCTTGGATCCACCCTTGCAAGTTAATATCATGTAATAACTACTTCAGATTAATGTCTTATAATTAGTATTAGCATTGACTTACCCATTCAGAAACATTATATGCTAATCTACCACCTTGAGACTTTCTCCAACCTTTTCTTGTTTTAAAACCCATCTTCTTCTTTTTAGCTATTTTACCTAAAAACCATAAGGTATTATACAATTAAAAAAATATTAAATGTAAACAATGTTGAAAAATTATCAAATTTCAATAATTATTAATTCCTATTGTTTTTATATATTCCAATAATAAATTTCATAACAATAAATTTAATTTCAAGTTTTAATAGCATTTCAAATATGTTAAATATGTATAATAAACAACAATATTTAATAAAATATTAAAAATCTTATTCATAAATAAAAAAAAATTGTATTTAACATTTTCTATGATTTATGAATTATTATTTTATTTTTTTATATTCATCAAATAACTAAGTGGCTAACTTATTACTGAACAAAATATTTAAAAATATAAATCCAGAGTCTAAACCAGTTATTTACTCAAAGAAAAATGAAAAAATCTTAATAGATCTTGACATTTGTCTTATATGGGAAAGAATTTATTCTTTAACTATTAGATTGTCATCAAATTAATGTGAATATGAATCTACAGCCAAAGAATTTTCTTTATCTGGATTTTTGCTTCTTTCATTAGATGTGGTTCATACACTAAAATTTGTTCACCAGAAATTAACCAGTCAATTATTTCACAATTATATTATAGAAACAAAAATAATCATGAATGTAAAATCAAATTATCAAGATAGAATAATTTGTCTTGACAGCTTAATTGGTTAGAGTGTTAACATAAATCTATAAGATATGACTTTAGATAGACCCATGCAGAATTGAAAATTTTTTCCTTACTGAATTGTTTGTTTGTTTCTTTCATAGATATGTGGTTTATATACTAAAATTTACATTTTGTGTATTTTTTACTGGTTTCTATGCATTTTTAAATCAAATATTTTAGTATAATATTTGTTGGTCAAAAAAGTTTTCTTACATCCTTTAATTCAGTCTCAATTGATATAATTTAGGAAGGTTTCAAGAAATATACACAAACATTTTTTGTCAAATAAGTAATATATTTTTTATACTGTATTAATTAATCTATCTGACTTTTGTTTAACTTGCTTTACATTAATGAATTTTCTGATAATCAGATTACACTTTATTAAACAATCATGATATCCTGACAATAACTAACTAATACTATCAATTAATTTGGAAGCATTCAATACATTACTGCTGATGGAGTTATATTCATGTATATTGTTGAATATTAAAACATAGAATATTATGTAGATTATTTCTCTCTAATCTTGAGAGAAGTTTACTTTAAATTTAATAATGACTAATCTATGTTCTTGTTCTTTTATTTTTTATCTTATTGAAAATTGTTTTTAAATGTATTTAATTAAAAAGAAAAGTTTAATTTTAAAAAAACTTTTACAAGACTCAGAATTCTGAACTGTAACCTTAATCTTTTTAATCCCAAATAATTTTTTTTCTTTTCCCAAAATTAAAAATGATGTTGAAAGGTATCATCTTTAATACAAAATTTGATACAAAGATTTTTGTTTGATCATTTTCTTATAAGTTTTGAGAAACCTGCAAAAACAATGATTTTGCATGTTTTTAAAACCAGGAAAAAAATGATGCATTGTTGAGACACATGAGAATCCTATTTCAAAAACTAATAAAATCATTTCTTTGTCATTTGTACTAATAAAGTTGTGCACATAATCCAGGAACTTTTTTGATCATACCAATTAAATTTTTGAACCAATTAACAACTTCATCATGTAATGAAAACCTCTTTCAATGAATGTGTTTCTTCAGGAATCTAAACAAATTAATCACTAGGTATGAGAATCAGGTCATAGGGAAGATGATACAGTAGGATCTCAAATTATCTGAGGTAATGTGAACCATTGCTACCTTGGATAACTGAAAATGCAGATAAAATGGATAGCCAAGTCCATTTCAGATAAATCTCTTATATTCATAACTTTTAATATGGTATATCACTTTTAAACCTCTTTTTTATTCCTTAGTGAATTTTATCATTATAATAAATGATATAAAAAATTATATCAGTTAATACATAGTTTCAAGAATAAAAATGTACTGAACATTAGGAGAGGGTAGGGATGAAAGGGACAGCCTCTATAACTTGCTGCTAAATTGCTAACTAAAAAATATCACAATCAGTAGGCTATAACATAATTAAACTGTCTGTCTTTGGTCAATAGAATGTTTTTTGCAATTTATCCCAGCTAATATGAGATGAAATCGATGGGAAATGTAATGTTTGCTTGCTCTTGCCGTTCCTCCTGCTTGGGATGGATGGGGTAGTTTTAAAACTATATTTTCCATGGTAACATCACTGATATTATCCTCCTCAAACATAGTCATTGGATAATGTACTTAAATCAGGACAATTACTTTGAAACCTCTAGAATATGTTTATTTAATCAGTTTTAAATTATATTTCACTGTCAGAAAATTAAGTTGTAGTTTTGGTTGTTTGAGGCCTGGGGGTTGAAAGGGACAGTAAAATAGGGAATGAATGGGACATGCCCCTTTCAACCCCATATTGACATTTTTGGCATGTTCTAATGCTAAATTTTTTTAATAGAAAAAAATTGCCTCGAAAGTATAAAAAAAAGAAACAGAAAGAATGTGAGACGACAGAAGTGATTCAAGGGGCAATAATTGAAGTTGTCGAAAAAGAAGCATCAATCAGGGCTACAGCCAATGCCCACGGAATTGCAAAATTACATTTGGCTAAACTCGTTTCAAAATATAAAAAAGACAATGTAGTGTATTCACCGCATGTGGGTAACAGGAAAGTTTTTACTACAGAACAATAGACAGAATTAACATTGTATTTAATGCAAGCATCATCAATGAGGACAAAATCTAAAAAGCAACTGTTGCAACATATTCCAGAAGAAACTGAAAGTGAAGATGAAAGATCTCAAAGCAGCTCTTCCTCAACGTCTGATGCAACATTGAGTGAGGGATCTGATATCGAAAACACTTTCAAACATGTTCAGCCCAATGATTTCATTTTAGTCAGATTTGCAAAAAAAACTTCTGTTGTTTACTTTGTGGGAAAAGTTTTGAAGAAACTGAATGATGAAGACTTGAAAGTCAAGTTTATGAAAAAAATATTGGGATGTTTCAAGTTTATATTTCCTGAGGAGGATAATATCAGTGATGTCACCATGGAAAATATAGTTTTAAAACTACCCCATCCATCCCAAGCACGAGGAACGGCAAGAACAAGCAACATTACATTTCCCATCAATTTTACCTCATATCAGCTGGGATAAATTGTGAAAAACATTCTATTGACCAAACACAGACAGTTTAATTATGTGATAGCCTACTGATTGTGATATTCTTTAGTTATTGTTCTTTGTTTGAAAAGATTTGATATTCTTTGTTTTAAAAATATTGATAATCTTTAACTGTTTAAAATAATTGTGATGTCACAAAATTCATATTATTAAAACTGTAATTTTTAAAAATTTTAGTCTCTAGCCTATCACTTTTCAATTATAATGAAATTTGAAACATTGAGATAACTAATTCCAAGTTTTACATTAAAATGCAGGTAGTCCCTTTCATCCCCGAGGGTGTCCCTTTTAACCCAAATGTGGGAATGAAAGGGAAATCTGGAGAGGTCTTTAAAAATATGAAAATGTTCAACTACCAATATAATAGAATGAATTCACAATATGGTCAGAATTAAGTAAAGATCTAATAAATCTTTTGCACTAAAAATAAAAATGATTAGAAGTAAACTTTTTCAGTGAAAAATAAAAATATGAATTTTGTCCCTTTCATCCCCACACTCCCCTATTGTAGTTACATGATAAAAGGCAAGATAAACAAATCATTTTGTAATTCATGTTATTGTTTTAAATTTTATTTTATGAAATACAGTGTAAGAAAATTGTGTATTCAATTACATGTTTGCCTTGGATAAAGTGGAACTTGGTTAATCGGGGCTCAGATAATTGGAATTCTATTGTGCTTCCACAGCACTGCCTAACCATTTAACAGTGGTAATTGATAATATGGAGCTATGACTATCACCTCTTTAAACATCTGAAGAAATACATCTCTGAGAAGATGTTTAATATGATGAAGAGCCAACTGGTCCAAAAGTGGCTCTAAGAACAAGATTCAGCATTCTATATACAAAGTATACATTCTCCCCACAGCAATGAAACAAATGCTTTATGCATACAATGAATATATGAAAGTATAAGTATATATACCTAACATTATGTCATCACAATGCCAAATTGGTGAAGTTTCAATTTTGTATAGCAATTGGAACAAAATTTTTTGAACAAAGTAATTAATTGTATATAAATTCTAACCTTGAAAATTAGTCTAGCAGTTGGCAAAACTAACACCTTTTAATGTTTTAACCTACTCCAAAATCTTCATCAGAAAATTTGAATAACAATGTTCATTGAATCTTTGGACAGGAAAATTTACTTTTGAATCTAATACATTAGCGTAATGTGCACATGACAGCAGATTTTAAAATGTATTAGATTCAAAAGTAAATTTTCCTGTCCAAAGATTCAATGAATATTTTGTTATTCAAATTTCCTGATGAAGACCTTTTGAGTGGTCAAAAACATTAGAAAGGTGTTAGTTTCGACAACTGCTGGACTTTTGAGGTTAGTGAAAATTTATGTAGTAAGATGTCCAGTTAGAATTTGAATTGTTAACAAATCAATTGTTTTAATGGAGTTAAAGTTTACAATTTTTGCAAACAGAATTTAAAAATTGATGAAATTATAATCTTTTATAAAGAAGGCTATTACATATTGGAAACAGTACTTTAGAAACAGTAAATTTTTGTTAATTTTGATATTAAAATAAATTCTTTATACAATAATTAGTAAATTGCAAAAATTAATTACCAACAATGTTTACAAAAATTTTAGAAACAGCTTAATATAAATACTAAATAATATATAACAATAATCTCTTATCAGAAGAAAATATAACTTTCTTAGAATATAATGTTTAAAATTTCTTCAAATTCAACAAATCCTGACACTATGTTATAATCTATTAGAAATAAAATAGCTTTTTCT